GGTCTACTGGCCGGCCAGTCGTGCACGCTTCTCGGTCACCCAAGGTAGACAATAGGAGGAAAAAAAGGGAGGTTTGCTGCGGCTGCGTGGCCACGACGCCAAACATGCCTCGATCAAACAGGTCGCTTATAGAAATTACAAACCATCCTCATCCTCCTCATCCTCATCCAGCAACTCGCTGTGATTATCATAAGCCTACCTGGCACCCCACAGGTATGGAGGGGGGGGGGGGGGCAGATGCATGGGCTGCTGTTGCTGCTGCTGCACACACCTCATTGTGCTGCTGAAATACACAGGCAATCGAGAGGGTGGAGATGGGCTTTGTGTCACAGGTAGTGACAGTGGAAGGGTTAGGTGGGAGGGGGATACAGGACCCCTACAGGGGCTGGTGGCAGTGGTGTCATTGACTGACAAGCCATTCAGATGCTATAGCAGTGTGGAAGTGCTGCTGGCATGTAGAGCAGCGCTGGTCAATCACTGTCATTCCCGTCACGTCCTCAGCGCCTCACCACGGCCTGTCTGAAAAGCGGCACCGCGAGGGCTTGTCATATGCAAAAGGTCATTAAGACTGGTGGGCACGCGCATGCAGCAGTAATACTCAAGTTGGACGCACGCACGTTTTCGCACGCGGACAGAGGCGCGCGACAATGATAATTCGCACCAAAAAAAAAGTGTGATGATCCATTGCTGCGGTGCGGACACGCAGTCACACGCGCCCTCATACTTACATGCACGCGCGCACACACGCCGCCTAAGGTGATCCATTGCTGCGGGAATACTGTGAAATCATGTTTTATGCTTTTTTCGGCACACACACTTTATGAGAAATACAACTGTGTTAAAACCTCGCATAATATTGACACTATTAAAGATTATTCACCGTGTGTAATGCAGAAAAAAAGCTAATGCAGACTTACCAGTTTGAAAACTCAACACCAAACTCAGGAGCAGCAGCCTCTGCATGGTTCAGCCGACCAATAAGTCCGTTATTGGCTCAAACCTCCGTGAGGACAGCATCAAAAAGCGGGAGTTTGCTGACTTTGGTAATAATTAGATAAAGAACAATAATCCTCCTGCGTCGTCCCTCCTCGTTTGTCCCCGGTCTCGGCGTGGACTTGCTCAGCTTTTATACCATTTCACTGCTTTTTTCACCCCTCTCTTCTTCTTTGCTCTCCAGCGACAGTCCGTTTTCTACTCTTCACTGGGGCAGCAAGCTAGCAGGAGTAACACCGGAAACATCCGGTCGTCCCCTTAAAAATAAAACGCACACAAGATGATACATTTGAAACAGATGTTGAGGAATGAACATCAGTTAATAATAATTGACGATATATTATCAATAAATGCTGTATTCGTACAATTAGATATTATATTTGATAGCTTAAATATACTGTATAGTCCTGTCCTGCCCTTGTGAGAGCCACCTCCATATAGAAAATAATAATTAACTAATATTCTTAGAAAATAAAGACAATTTTAATCAAAATAAAAGCTTACAGTCCTGAAATAAACCACTTATAAGGATGACACATGTTGATGTTGTACTGTAAACCAGAGATTCGTTAGCTACCTGACAAATAAATCAGAATACAAGTTCAAACAATGCAACCCGTGCAACCAAGCTCTACTTCCGGTGTTGTCTTCGCTGTAATCTCTCTGGCTTGACGTCATATTCTCATTAACGGGGCATTCCTCTCTCTCTCCCCCTCTCTCTCTCTCACGTCAGCAGCACCACAGCACTGTCCCCCTTTTCCCTTTCCCCCTGGATCTTGCACACCGGCAAAAAAACACATTATGAAGTAAAAAATTAAAAGAATAAACAAGCTTAGAGAGGCATAATCATTTTTGACACATTTGCTGTGGTCGGTACTGCTTTGTTTCTTGTTTTTCACAATGTGACATTAGGACATGAAGTCATTCTAGATACCCTAACTCACCTCTACAATAACAGAATCCTCCTATTTCTATAATTCAGGCCTGATATGTGAATGATCGTGATGTCACACTTAATATGTTAAATAGAAGACAGCATGCTCAGTGGTCACTCAATTTAATTAACCATATTGTCATTGTCACATGTTAGAAAGCTCAATATAGGGACAATGTATTGCAGGAGATTCCTAAGTAGGGTAGTGAGATGTAGGAGTAAAAAATACCAAATAAATACTCATAGATATTATTACTTCTTAAAATGATATTCACAATTTAGTGGGGTAAGGTAGTAGTGATGTCACTATGATGAAAGAAATAGCCCGAGCACATGATGAATAGACAGACCTGATTCCTGTCACATAATGTAGGCTACATATTTTTGGGGATGGTTCCCTGTCACAGCTCGGTGGGTCTGCAGAGAGCCGGTCCTCCACCGGGGAAAGCGACTGACACTGAGGCTGGAGCGCCCCCTGGTGTCCTGAACCTAGAATGACACTGAATGAGCACCAAGAGGGACTGGGGCGATAATCCCACAATATCTGATGTTCCCAACATGCTGTAAAGGATTCTAACCTTAAATAGGTGCACTCGTTTTAAAAAAAAACATAATTGGTTTGTTTACACCGTTAAAGCTTCATAATAGTCTGCAGGAAGGCTGTTAATAAATACAAGTAATATCACATTTAAACATTGTAAATTAATAACGTGGTTTGTTTGAGAAAATTAGTATCCATAGAATAATAGTTTCATTTTAATTTACTCCTGTTAAAATGTCAAATCAAATTGTTCGGAGAGCTAGCTCTAGAAGGAGAATCAACATGAGAAAATAATGTATAGTAAGAATTTTATAGAGAGAGAGAGGAATTGTAGGTTATCATGTAATAAGGAGGCGTACATAAGTAAACCTAATGAAATCAGGTTTGGAATACAAACTCAGAATTGTATTTGCTATAAAAATGTAACAGAATAGAGTACAGCATAGAAGGAATGGGATGGGGAGTGTTTCACTTGACACACTACAGCTCTCAATATTGCACACATAGTTATGATCATTTACAGCATCTGCTACCAAAACATCACCCTCATCCCTTACATCTGATAAAAGTGACCGCAGGTCTGCCGTGTGGCACACAGAGTGACTCATCTCTGCCGGGACTCGAACCCGGAGCCTCTGGATTAGAAGTCCAGCGCGCTATTCCATTGCGCCACAGAGACTGCGCCAGGATATCCCGTGCATGGCACCGTTTTCATACATATAGCCTCTCATATCGCTACTCTCTGCATCCCGCAGCATCAGGACCACTCTGAGCCGACATTTTGGTAGTTCCGAGTACGACCACCAGAGAGCGCTGTTGCTACACCCTGGGGTGTGAGTCCCTCATAGATGAGTCAAGTTAGCTGGCGTACAACCGGAAGTCTAGAGGTCCCGTTTAAAAAATAAAAGTCGCCGCCACAGTTTAATGGCGTATTAGTATATCTTCGTAATCGAGGCTTTTATTTTGAAACTTCGCAACCCGGAATCTTCTTTAAATAAAACTATTTTAATTTCCACCAAAGAGCCAAAATGGTGCCAGTCGGAGCTTCTGTTTCTCCGTGTACAAATCAAATTGAAATGTAAAAAATATTTGCAATATGTCGGCGATATGACGGATCTTTAAGACAACAAATCGAACATCGGCCAGTTTAAAGAAAGCCGGTGCTACAACCATGTTTAACAAATGCAATCAGAAAAACGAGAGGATAGTGTTAAAATTAAAAATAGCTCAAGGAAATATGTCGTGTTTAATTACTATAATTGGTATTTGGGTCATTTTAATGGTTTATTAAATCATCGTTTTTCAGCACACATGTATAGGCCCTACTCAGTGTCTTATTTTGAAATAGTGCATCACTCTCACTGTATAGAAACAGTAGGCTACACAGTCTATTGTTACACCAGGATTGCATCAGATACCTATAATGCCCCCCACCCCCCTCCACAATGTGCCACCATGATTCATTTCTTGCCTAAATCCATGAGTGGGAAATATAATCTACGTATTCGTCCAGTATTGGATCTTCTAAAGTTTCACCAACCCGGAATAAAACAATAAATCTATGTAGGTTATTGGGTTATTTTTCAATATTTGGCAGATGGGACCAAAAAGGGAGGTGTAGCTCAACAGGAATCTTTGATCTTGTGTTGGGTAACATTGACTCTGTAAACAAGACTCTTAAATGTGGGTCACACTGCAGCTTTTCTAAGTAAAATACTTTGATAAATGGTAGTTTTAAATGCTTTTGCCTTTTTACTTCTGATGCTAACTGATGTGAGTCCCATGGTCCCCTGAAGTGGCTGAATTACTTTAAATATAGTGTATATATTCAGGTTTACAGCCCTGGTGTCATCCCCACAGCACCCCCCATTTGAAACATGTTCCCACGGCTATGTTTCTTGCCATCTACACTGTTTATGTCAAGGACACCTTCTGTGGTAAAACATAGACCCAGTCAAAATTCACCATAAAGGTTCATGCACATTTTTCCCCAGTGTGTTTGGACAATAAATAGAAATACACAGTAAGCTTTGAATGTGACCATTTAGGCTTGAATATAATGTGACTGTATGTGAGTGCAATACAGAAAGTATTTGATAGCATCTCAGTCATTTTTAGAAATGCAATAGTTCCCATTCTTTTGAGGAAGAGTGTGAAGCTGTTATGATGCAATTTCAAAGCTTTCACGTCTTGCGACGTTTCAGTTCTCGTTGAAAACAAGTAGTTCTGTAACTGAAACTTCTCAGTGTAAATAATGCATTATCATCATTTATTATTTTCTTAGAAGTTGATTTTCGATTCTGCAGATCACTTTCCTAAATGTAGCCACAACAGAGACGACACACAGTTAGTGTTTACTATGATTTACAAAAAGGGATGTTGTGAAACTTCACTTTCTGCTAAAGGTTGGATATTGTGAAATTCTTATCACAGTCTAACTGTAGGCTCCGATAATATTGTATCTGCAAAAGCCTGTAAACTCTTACTATACCGCTATCATTCCTAGATTATATTATTGTAAAAAGTGAAACATTTTCTTTATGTGCAGAAACTTTAAACATTTATTAAAAATCAAACAAAGAATTTAGCATACAATGTGAAACCCATGCACTTCATCAACACATTCAGCCTTCCTGTTTTGGTCTTTATTTTCAGTATTTTCACTGAGTGCTTCATTTATACCACAGTGAGGTACCACTTTACAATAAGACTACCCTTATAAAGGATTCATATTATGAATTAGGTTGTAAACACTTTATTAATCATTAAGAACCATTTATAAACCAGACTTGCATGGCTTAATCTTTGAGACAAGCATATGCTACAGGCTCACTATTTGGCAAGATGACTAAGCCTTATATTGGCTACTTAGCGAGAATCAACTCAGTGAACAACAGATAGCAAGGATGCTGGCTGATGAAGAAGACGAAGTAAGCTAGGTAGCCAATATAAGATTTAGCAGTACAGATAAATGTGGGCTCACTATTTGGCAAGCAACCGGTCACAGTTGCCCTGTTTATCTCATGTCGTATCAAAGCTTATTAATGATTTATAAAGTGTTCACAACCTAATTAATAAATGAATTACAAACTATTCGTAAACCCTTTATAAGGGTAGTCTTATTGTAAAGTGGTACCCACAGTGATAGTTTTCATCATCCCTCGACTTCCTCACACATATCCATAAACATTTGATATAACTGTATCTATGAAACAAAACCATTCAACTCAAAGATATGTATATAAAACAGAGAAAAGCAGAAACTCCTCACATCCTCATACAATCTGGGACCAACACTTCAGATGTAATGCCTGGAAAGTGCTAAAACTATTCATCACTATCAAAATTGTTGTTAACATTTTGTACAAATGGGATTATTTTCATATGTATTGCTTCAAATAGGGACACATTAATGTATTGATTCCACCAAAGTAGTGCAGGAAATCATTTAGTGCAACAAAAGACTTACATTCATTAAATAGGAATGTACTGGTGGACTGTTTGTTTGAGTGAAAAATAATGCGTGTATCCAACCTGTGATTGGGTTCTGAAACTGAAGAGGTTAATCCTTGGTCCGTGCTTCGCTTTCACGGGAATCGGTAACAGTCATTTTTCGGTATTCCTGCTAAGAGACAGACAAACACACTCCCCAACAAATCAGACAAAATCACACTGCTGTTGTGCGTTAAAAAACAACTGTAGATCTAGAATATTGATATTTTTTGAAGTCCTTCAGTGTAACACATTCCGCTTTGCTGAAGAGAACAATGCACAGGAATGCAGTAGCTGCCACAGTTTGATGGTTCAATGGAAGTTTGACTTGATAGCTCCCTTGATGCGCTTGGATAATGAATCTCCTGGATTCATTAGTGTAACAGTCTTTATATGGTCTTGTTGAGACAGAAAAATGGTGCAGATTTAGGCTGAGTCGTGTCTGATGACCAGTTTGCAGATTTGGGGGTCTGTCACCAGGGTGATGTTAAAGTTGTCTTCCTTCTCTGCGGGGATGTACAGCTTGCCGCCCATGCTCTAAGGAAAAGAGGAAGGAAATGGTAATTGTTGGAAATGGTAGCTTTTTTCGCACAGCTCATTGTTTCTCTCAATGCCTATATATTTTTTTTAATTAATATTAAAATAATCATACATACATTTGATGATTACACGCTTTTTGCAATTTAGATAAGAAAAAATATATTATTTCTTGGTCTTAATTTCATTGTGACTTGATCAGAATCAGGTTTATTGCCAAGTAGGTTTACACATACAAGGAATTTGCCTTGGTGGTCATTTTTTGTTTCTACTCTGTTTCTTCTTGACCACTACTTTTATTGTTTGTTTTATTGATTTGTTTTACAGTTTTATGTCTTATATATATTTATGTTGCATTGTTGGAGGATCCTGGGACTTAAGATTTGCATTGCCATAACTACACTGTAGCTGTGCTTATGACAAAAAACGTCAGTTAAGGAAGATCAATTCAATTTTAAGAAAAGGACAAAAACAACTATTATAGCATTCAAATTTAGAGAAATATTTACATGAAATATACATTAGATATACCAAAAAACTGTGTAAAGCATGATAAGACAAAAATATGGAGAGTATTGGTATGAAAAGTGAAAAGCTTTGTGTACAAATGTGCGCAGATCCGACAGTATTAAAAGGAACAAGATATTGATGGCATAGTGTGAATTGATTTAATGCATAGTGTCTACGAGTGTCAATGGGGGTCCCGGGCCTTGTATTTTAAAAAAACACAGACCGTGTTGTTGTTGTCAGAAATGTCGCTGATGAGGTCCCGAGGTTGTGGAACTTTGGGGAAGAGGATCTCCTTATTCCTGTAGAGAGAACGAGAGTTTAAGACCAGAGGCAAGCACACTACTTCATTCAAGCCGAGCTAAAAGGTGGAGGTGAAGACTCAACGTACTTCCTGCAATACACGATGGTCAGGACGGCCAGGACAGCAACCATCAGCGGCAGGATGATGGCCACATACACCCACGCATTGAGATCTGACTCTGCAGCTGCATGCAAAAACATCACAGACATCATGAGTGACTTATACAGCCGCAGTGTGTTCAAGCTACACCATTACAACCAGTGGTGAATTTACTTAAGTACTGTAATTACACATTTTGAGGTACTTGTACTTTACTTAAGTATTTCCTATTCCTTCTTCCTATTTCCTACTACTATAAACTTCTTCTCCACATCATTTTGGAGGCAACTATTGTAATTTTTCCTCAAATACATTTTACCATTAAATGTAGCCCCCCCCCCCCTACCAGCTGCAAAATTAAACATCAATGATAACCAATTATGATCAATATAATTTAGATTATTTTGAAAATGTTCAATGTGCATGATGAATACTTTTAGTTTTAACACTTAAAGTATTTATGATGCTAATACTTTTGTACTTTTACTAAAGTAACATTTTGAATACAGGGGTTTTATTTGTACTAGAGTATTTATACACTCTGGTATTTCTACTTTTACTTAAGTAAAAGATCTGAGTACATCTCCAGCACTTTTTAAAACAAGTAAATATACAGATAATTGAAAAGGACGAATTTCGACTATTTTCTTAACCTTAGATTTTATGTTGGATAGTTTCATATTTTGAAATGCATCATATTTTCAAAGAATTTGAATGTGTAAAGAAACAAGTAGTTAAACAATTGATCAAATAACTGCAAGGCATTTCAAAGTAAAATAAACCCCTCTGAACATAATGGACTACAATTATAAGTGTCAAGAATAGGAAATACTCACGTAAAGTATATATACCTCAAACTAATTAAATATAATAGATATAATCATTTCAATAAGATAAGAAAATAGACAAAGAGACGACGACCATACCAAAATACTTCTCGTCACTCAATAGTGTCTTTGCGTCAAGTCTTCCATGGGCTTGAATAGTTATTCGGTATGAACACTTAGGGACAAACGTGAACTCAGTTGTTACCCCGTCTACAACACCTAAAGTCTGTGAGAAAGTGAAGGCACACAAATGATGTGGAATTTAAAGGTCCCCTATTATACTCTTTTTCAACAATATATTACAGGTCACAGATATATACAAAACATGTCTCTGAAGTGTTTGGCTGAAATACCAAACTGATCATTGTAGCATCCCATAAACCCCTCTGTTTCAGATCTGTTCCAAAAGTGCTGATTCTGTGTCTGTGGCTTTAAATGCTAATGAGCTGCCGCTGGCCACACCCCTCTCTGAAATGATTCGGTTAAAAAACCACAATGGTGCTCTAGGAGGAGATACAGGTGATAAGGTTCAGAACTACTGTTGATTCTGAACCAAAAGTATATTGTGTTGTAGAATTAACAATTTATACTTTTCACAACTTAAATATAGTTTTATTTTCAAATTAAATTGCTCTGAAGACACCACTAGTAGCAAAAAAAGCTGTTTTCTACATTAGGTCCCATTATGTTTGTATTGTGCATCAACGCAATAATTTAAATAACATACAAGGAACAAAATGTGCCAAAAAATGTCTTTCTCTTTTTGAAAGGTCTACGCAAATGTAATTAGGAGGAAGGACATGACTTGAGGGTTACACAAATGACATGATAAGAAGAACTGCCTGGGACGATCACTTTAGCTTGTTCCCACTTCACAAAGTCACCCTTAAATAACCTTGTAGAATTCAAACCACATCTATTCATCTATATGGCTTGGAAGTAAAATATGTCAATGTGAGAATCAGATATTGAGGTGCTACTAAGATTGATAAGATGGACGGATTAAAAAACAAACATCCCAATATTGTTCTCTTGTGTTTCTTACCTTTTTTTCATTGCATTCTTTGTATGTAATGAAATACTTCCAAGTGATTTTGATGCTGGGCGGAGTCCAGTGGATTTTGAATTGACCCCCACTTTTGGTGACATTCCACTGCAGGGCAGGAGGTCTCACTGTATGGAAACAGACATAAAGTAACTAGGATACAGCCATACACAATGATAAGATAATGAAAAGCAACTGTGGCCTGTGGGAAAGTCCCTCTCAGACATTCTGCTTTGTGTGATCCAATGGTGTTAGTTTAGGATTACACTTGAACACACTGCGCACTTACACATATCTCCACAGAAACAACTACTAACAAGGAAGGAAAGAGACTCTAAGACTGAACGCAAAAGTGTTTCAACACACCTCTATGGGTCATTCCTAGCATTCAGTGCCATGGAGGTCCCCAATACATTATAGGATATATTTAGCCTTTAAAAGGGCTAATGCTTATTTGTAAAAGCTTGGTTGTACATGTTTAATCCCCCTCTACCCACAAGAAACAACGTTATATACCCAGGATATTCATAATTATAAATTATAAATTATAGCTCTAGTTATAATAATTTTAGTAGGCCAAACTGCCATGCCCCTAAAGAGAATCAATGGGTTAAAATGACATTGTGCCTCAAAATTAGTTTTTTGGAATGCTTTGTAAAAATATATTTGTGAGGGTAAGCAAGGAACATTTCAGCTGTTAGATGATGAAAATATTATAATAATTGTGCATTCAAAACACTTGTCAATAGACTCAAGAATGCCTGTAACATGGTGGACACTTTTAACAAGCCGTCATTCAGATGAAATAACAACAAATCATGGAAAATTAAGATTTTTTTTAAATGAACATCGCTGGAATGGCACGGAATGCTAGGAATGAACCCTCTAGTACTATTGATACTGGCGTACCATTCTTTATTAGCGCCTTCTTGAAGGTGTTCCTCACAGTCTGCTTGTTCAGCGTTCCGTTAAATGAAAGGATGATGGAATCTTTGGCGTTTGCCTCCAGATCACAGCCGGTCCTGACCCTGTCGCGGGAAACGTACGATGGGCACTCTTTAATGACATTGTTGTTTAAGCTGGGAAAGACAGAGAAAACGCAGTGAAGTTAGGCCAATAAAACACCTCAGAGAAGTCAACAATTGAAAAACTGAGCTGAACCATTTCACAAACATCTAAATAAAAATATATACAACTCACACCTGGCCTAGAGGACACCACTGGGTTCAATACAATTTAAAGAAGAGTTTGACATTTTCTGGAAGTATTAATACTCCTAAATATGAAGATAAATAAGACGGTTAGCATAGCTTAGCATGTAGATTGAAAACAAGGGTAAACAGCTAGCCTAACTCTCTGTAGAGTAATAACATTTAGCTTTATAGCATTTCTAATGCAATTTAATTAACACGCGACACCCTATTTATTTTTAAATTCATAAAAAATACTGACGTAAAAATCTACTTTTTCTTTAATCTTCAGACTTTTCGAACTTTCCAGAAGTCTGGAGCTGGCTTTTTGCGTTGATTGATTTATTAGTTTGCTGAATCAGGAAATCAAATTTTGAAACCTGATACCTATTCTCGAGGTAAAAAAGGTAAAGAGTACCTTTTCACATGTTTCAACACTTGTTTGCCTAAATTCCTTAAAGGTCTCCTATCATGCTATTTTTAGGCATATGTTATGGGTCTCAGATATATACAAATATATAAAAAACACGTCTATGATGTGTTTTGCTCAAAATACCAAACAGATCATGCATTTTAGACATCCCTCATATCCCTCTATTTCAGCCCTGTCTTGCCCCTTTCACACCAACGCAGCTCCCGTTCTAGCTCCGTGCTTGCTCTCTTCTGGTTCGGAACCGGTTTTTCTTTTCAGCCCCCGTTTTGTTCACACCGCCCAGAGCCCGACTGGTGCTGCCGCTGCTGCGTCATGACGTCACCGTTTACGTCACTGATTTTCTCCCCAACGGCGCTCACAACAACAACAATGGGGAACTGCGTTGGGTCGATGATCGTGTTGCTTTTAATCATACGAAGCCAGATTACATTAAATAACAAATTCTCCAACCTTATACTTTTCTCCAGAGTGCCGTGGTTCATTGTTTATTAATGTGTTTCAGCGGCATTTACCGACCGCTGCAGTGCTGCTCTTCCACCGGAGTTTATTCTCCCGTTAACTCACAAGGCAGCGGCCGCTGTAAAGTATTCACTGTCTGACTGTCACACAAGCAGCTGATACATATCCCCAATTCACAAAGTGAATGTGTGTCAGTCTGAATTGACGCTGTTTGGCATCACAACGCTGTTATTAAAGTTTCTCTGGTATAAAATGGGTGATGTTAGCATAGCAACCAAAGCTAAACTGACTATCTTGACTACTTGTTGCTATCCTATTGTGGCATAAACCGTTTTCTACAGGCACATTTTACCGGCGTATTTTTCATTATGATTCTACTTGTGATAGTCGGACACGACAACCTGTGCAGCCCATGTATTGATTCCATCCGATAGCTGCTCTCCACAATGATCAATAACAGCGAACGGATGGTCAAAGTAAGGTACAAATAAACAGAATCATACGAAGCCTGGTTAGTGTTGCCTGACTTTTACAAGTGTGTGGTTGCGTTCTAGTCACTTTGCTCAGCGCTACTGCTTGTTACAACTTTTATTTGCCGTACTCGCCATAAACTGTTAGCTCAGGTTAATCTCGCCCCCCTCCGACGTAAGAGTGACGTATGCGGTTCTTGCTTCTAGACCGATTTTTTTTCCAAATTTGGTAAGAACCGGTTTTCGGGGAAAAGAGCCGCCTCCGATATTACGTCATATCAGACGCAAATCTGGATCAGCTCCATTGTACCCCCGTTTTTAGAGAAGTGGGTACGGAGGAAATGAGAGAGGGTTTTATTTTCTGACACTTTGTGAGTTCCCTGACACACCGGGGACATATATTTATGTATAATAGACATCAAAAAGTGCATTTTGCATGATAAGACACCTTTAAATAGTCTTGATTTAATAAATGTAAACCAGTTGTTGGGCAGATTATCGGTACAAGAGTAGATTGTAAGGCTGGATTTCGACAAAGTGTACAATTCTACAATATGATTTACATTTGTGTAACATTGGCAATAATACATTTTCAGACAATATAACAAAATTAAGAATACATCTATCTTATCCTTTAAAGAGTGTGTTGCTTAACATTCTTTCCTACAGTTTAAAAATAAAATAATAAGTCCTCCAACTTAAATTGACAAGACACTCGATGAATAAACATTCCAAGAGTCAACAAAAAGTCTCCTAAACATAAACTGACACCCGATAAGAAGCGAGGTCAACTTTAGCCTCAGTTAAACAGAAAGTCTTTACTGCCACTCGGGTTCTGCTGAATCTTATGTGATGAAACTGTGTGTATCAGGAGATTTTGCAATACAGCTTACTCATTTACATTGGGTAACAGCTAGTGTCGGTCCCGTTTACTGTGACACAACAGCACTGTTGTGTTTTTCCATTCAATTCAATTCAAATAGGGTAATTGGCATGACCATAATGACCTACAGTATGGCCAAAGCTTTGTACAATTGCGACATCTATATACAGTATAAATATACATTTGGGCGGTTATAATAATAATAATAATAATAATACATGTTATTTATATGGTGCTCAAAACACTTCATTATTATATACTATTATAGTTATGTTCATAAGCATTTTGAGCGAAAAGCAATAACAACATGTTTTCTTTACAAGGAAAACAATATAGTATATGAACATGAATTATTTATTTATTTAAAACACAGATAGAAAAAGTTAAGGTGAGTTATTGACTATTTTGCAGTATAATGCCGATAATTAATACATTAATAAGAAAATAATAATAGAAAATAAAAAGACCTAAGATGTGAGTCTAGTAAGATTTTTAGTTTTCTTTTTCAAATAATTGAGGATGAGGTTTGAATTGTGGGCATTGTATGAGGAAGTGCTGCGTTGTTCCCACAGCAGTTCCTCCACGCTGTTGGTATAATGGCTCCTCTTTTGGCAGCCATGTTTTCTTATATCTGCTTGTCTCTAAGGCCACGTCTGCACTTTGTCAACATGTGTCTGTGTTTAGCAAAAAATAAACTCACTGATAGAAAAACCCCAGATTCAAGGGAGTGTGAGCGGTCTTCTTCCAGATGCAGTGAGCTTCCGTAGGGGTAGTAATGAAGCACTGCAAGTCCTTCACCAGATCTGGCAGGATATGACACACACACACACACACACACACACACACACACACACACACACACACACACACACACACACACACACACACACACACACACACACACACACACACACACACACACACACACACACACACACACACACCACACACACACACACACACACACACACACACACACACACACACACACACACACACACACACACACACACACACACACACACACACACACACACACACACACACACACACACACACACACACACACACACACACACACACACACACACACACACACACACACACACACACACACACACACACACACACAGCGTTATACACAAACACACGGTAATGCAATCCATGTATGATTCAACTGCAGCAGAAGCATTCAGCTACCTGGGTAAGTGACGCTGCTACTCGGCACTGGCTCGTATCTTGTACAACTACTCTTTACAGACACATTCAGAAACCCCCCGTGCATCACCATCTTCAGGCTCAAGGGGGACGTGGCTGGTAACTAAATCCACCAAGAATAGGAAAGCGGAACAAAACAAAAACAATGAGGAACAAACATCAGTACTGTCCAGGAATGATAACATGTTATTCACGTGCTAACACATTGAACTACCAAACTGGGTGTAAAGCAGCTGGAAATTGCTCCATCCTGAGACATTTAAATGCTGCTTATACATTTATTTTAGATAATAATAATTAAAAAAGCTATATTTCAATATAGATTATAATACCACAGCCTGAAAGGGGACATTCTGAGTTTTATCTTTGCTACTTTAGAGTTTTTCAATTATACTTCTCGGATTATAACATGTAATGCAATATATTTTACATCATAGTATTTCAACATCTTTATCTTTAAACAACGCACTGAATACTTCTTCTAACAAGCAACTTCCTAAAAATATGTAGAAATGTCCCTACACAAAAATAATGTAATAATGTATGTAAACATAATATAACAAAACAATATATTATTATAGATATAATAATAATAAGAGAGTCTATGCATTTTTTAAAGATTTCTAACAATGATATAAAAAACATTAGTAAATCGAGGTTATTGTTATCTAGGAAATGGTTGAACTAAAATAGGTGTTGTATACACTGAAAAACTATTAAATACAATTACATTCAAACCAAAAAGCGAAATACATGCATACTCACATGTGTCTCTATTTCAGGTTCGTATGTTGATACTGCAGTCAGTACATAGCTGCAGTTTGTCACCGGGTGCTGTGGTGGTTCCCAGGTCACCTTCTGCTCGAAATCATTAATCCATTGTAGGGACACATTTTGTGGTAATCCTTAGGTAAAGAAAGAGAAAATACAGACATTTGATAACACATCATTCCTTGATACAGACATAAAAAACATATGAACTTATCCGGAGATAAAAGCTACTTCATCTTAATTGGGTCATGTAGTGAAGCCAATGACCACATTTCCCACAGTTCATAGCTTTCTTCATTAGAAGAAAGTGAAACGGTAAACATTTACATTTTTATATCACTTAAGAGATAATCAAATAAGTACTATTTACAAAGACACATTGCCTGCACGGTAACTTGCATATGTTATTATTATCATTTATGTAGGAAATAATGGGAGTTTTCCTTTATACTGTATATTCCATGGAATGTGACCCGTGAATCATTACCGACTACTAGTTCTTAGAAATAACTCTTATTCCCTGGAACAACTGTGAGACAATTATTTTTGACACAGTAAAATACTTATATTTGAGCCAGTATGTAGTCAGTCATTCATTTATTTATTTGAATTTGTAATTTTTGTTAAAGTGACACTTTGATGCAGATATCATTTATTTACAGAGGTGAACAAAGTATTCAGATTCTTTACTTGAGAAAAAGTAATAATACCAAACTGTACAAATACTCCATTTCAAGTATTGCATCAAGATGGTACTATAGCCTATATTTTAACAAAAAACTTCTTAGCAAAATTGCTGCTTAAATATAATGTTGGAGGGTTTAATCTATACCAAATAATCATATTATATTCTAAGTGTTGTGTGTCAAAATCTGAATTTAGTAAGTAAAAGTAAATAAATCTGGACAATAAATGTAAAAAGTACAACCTTTGCTTCTAAAATGTAGTAGAGTAGAAGTATAAAGCAGTATACGATGAAAATAATTGGATAAAGTACTTCAAATGTGTACTTAAGTTAAAGTACAGTATAGGCTACTTGAGTAGAAGTACTTTCCACCGCTGTTTATTTACAGAACATTATTGTTAGACAGACTGTCTGGCTTTAATATGCCTGCACTGCACCTCCAAGGTGCGCAATACATTATTAGGCAATCTAACTAACTGTATTCTTGTCTCAGGATGCTTGTTTTCCTGCTCTGTAGTGACGTCGGTACTGGGAAAACACCGCTGGGAAAATTCCATCAAGGGAGCAGATTGAGAACACAAACGTTGGGGAAAGTACCACAGCAAGTTTTGTAGTAAATATTTCTTACCGTCTTGAGACAGGACCGTTAAAAAGAGGCAGTTTAAAACGAAGAAGTCCCGACTTTGACACATCCCGGTTGTCCTGTCTGAGTTTCGGTTTAGTTTCGATAGTAAACAAAATTATTGGTAAATTATTCTCGTTTCTAACGACGACGTGTCAGTCCTGCTGTCACGGTTTGTAAAAAGACAGTAAATGTACGTGTTTTAATCATAGACTGTATATATAAAGGTTTTAATCCAACCTTCCAGTTTGTTCTGAAATATATGAGACCTGGTGGAGGCGGGAAATGGGCGTAGACTAGAGCTTCCCTTTTCTGGAGAGGGACGATCTGCCAGTGTTTTGCATTATAATAATAGCCTACTTTGAATATACGTTTGTGGTGGAAAATAACTAGTTATATTGATCCTAACCCACACATTTGAGGTATTTGTACTTTACCTTAATATTTTCATTTTTTACTACTTTACTCCACTACATTTTGGAAGCAAATGTTGTACGTTTTACTCACTACCAGAGGTGGGAGAAGTACTCAGTTATTGTACTTAACTAAAAGTAGAAGTACCACAGTGTAGAAATACTCTGTTACAAGTAAAAGTCCTGCATTCAAAAGGTTACTCAAGTAAAAGTACAAAAAGTAGTAGCATACAAATATACTTAAATTATCAAAAGTAAAAGTAGTCATTTTGCTTTGGTCCTTTTCAGAATAATATGATGTGTTTTATATTGATCATTAAAGAGTTATCAAAGCTGGTAAAGGTGCAGCTAGTTTGAATGACTTTGTATACTGCAGGGTTGTGAATTTACTCCAGGTCTGTTTAAGAGTTGAATATATTTCACATCATTAGTCCAGGTACAAAATGAATGTAGTGGAGTGAAAGTACAAAGTAGCATTAAAAGGAAATACTCAAGTAAAGTACAAGTATCTCCAAATTATACTTAAGTACAGTACTTGAGTAAATAGTTACTTCCCACCTCGGCTCAATACATTTGTTTTAAAGATGTATTCACACGTTTCTTTATAAATTCAGATTTGTATACACAATACTTGGAGAAAACTTTTAAAATTAGTATTTGGTATATATTAAAACATCCAACATTATATTTAAGTCAATAAAACCACGAGTGGGACGATATGAAATGACTGGATGCAACACAGAAGCTGTTATTATTATTCATAGTTTTGTAATCCATCAAGTATCATCCTTGATATAGCGAGTGTTCAATATAACCTATAGAAACTGGGACTTGCCCACTGACTAACAGATCCAATGGAAATGTGTGCAAGTTGTGACAAGTCAAATACTTGCTTCTAAAGAATGCTAAGACAGCACGCAATCACGGCCGAGCAACACATTATACTTTCAATTTTTCTTTCTTTATTATCTCTAAGCTGTGAAAATAAGCAATCACTCAACAGATTGTGTTCGCGTACCAAAGCGACAAGAGAACAAAGAAAGAACACATTTCTGCTTTTTAAGGAAGGAAGGGAGTGTGACTAATGGTGATGTGGCATTTGGATTTGGGTGATTCTGTAAGCAAGCAGATAGAAAACACAGAATCAACAGACTGACTGAAAGCCAAGTTGTCAGTTTTTTGCCCTCATGCCTTCACAGTTCTCTGGTATTGTCCTCTTTCCAGAAATAGTTTAAAGCTGTGATTATACGCTTAACCCCACAGGTTGGAATTCCAAGCGATTGTCGTAAAAACAATTAGGGATCAGTAGAAGTATGTGCTTTTAATTTAAGTTATTGCTTCCTTTCCCATTGTCTTGCTGTCATACTGGCATCCTGTGCCAAGACATTTTCTTGCGATCTTTTTCGTTAGTACAGTAGAAATCCATAGGGCCACCAGCTTCTCGTACTACTCTCGTCTTCCTCCACAGTGAGGATCCTCAGCCTGGTGGCTTTTTCATTTTAAGAGCCAGTGCATTTCCTTGTCCTGTAAAGGGGAGGACTCAGCAGTGTACATCAACACTACCTTTACGTAATAGCAGCTGAAAATCTTGTTTTTCCACGACTTCTTGAAAGGTGAAGTTCTTCCCTGAGCTGCAGTCAGACAGTTCTGTACAGTAAAGATGCAAAAACAGCTTGACTTGAAACTTTACACCACTAGAGGTCAGTGGATTACAGCGTTTCAGCCTGTTTTTGAGCTACTCAGTCAATGTTCCTGATGAGTTGGCCCTGAGTGGAAGTCCAGCTTCACTGCGGGCATTCTACTGTGCGTGTTCACGTCAGGAGATTTGCTCGAGGTCACTGTTTTGAGCTACCGCGGTAACTTTACAGGATTCAATAGGTTCTGGTACCGGCGTGTACAAATTCCCTGTCGTCTGTAAAAAAACAGAACAGTGTTAAATTCATATTTTTGGGAGCACACCATACACACATTTGTTTTCTCTAAAAAATACCTTATGATCTTTGTTCCCGTTTATCATAATTTCCTTGAATATTGCTGAAGGGTCTGGTATGATGGGGCACAAAATAGAGCTGTGCCTACAAACACACACAATGACACAGATTAACAGCCAGCATACAATGTTTTCACCACCAAAGTTTCCTATTTAACAGGCAAACATAACATTATTTATTAGAATATTCAAACACATATTGTTCTTATTGGTGGAAAAAATGCATCACACGCAGGATATTATACAAAGGTATTAAGATATTTGGTAAACATGTCTGCAGGGGATTTTTAAAGGAACAGTTCACCCCAAATATACATTTGAAAACTCCACTTCAATGTTGCTTTCCAGAAATGATCAACCGGTTATAGGTTACTTGTTGCAGTTTCATGGGCACTGAAACTGCTTGCGGTGGATTATCCGAAGTGTGAAGGGCGTGATTTCTGGAGAAAGACATTGCTGTTGAGTTTCTCGAGAACTATTTTTTTGGGGCTTTGAGCACCGCAAGTCATCTAGTTATATTATGGAAAGAAGGCAGACATCTATATTACCAAAAACTCAAACTATTTTAATTGATTTCATTTCTACTGTCCTAACTTTGCAACCCTTTTTTTATACATATTTTTTAATTCTCACATTTATTTATCTCCATTTGTATTCTTCTTTTCTGTCATGTTTTCTTTATTTGCATGGACTGTGTACTGATTCCAAATAGTAGACAAATGTATGATCATGTTTGTATAATGGTGAAACAAAGCACTACAGGTAGGAGGAAATGCATTCTGGATTATAGAGTTTATCTTCTCTTAAAGCTACAAACCCTCACTGACTTGGGGCACAATAAGCATTCCTTTCCTATGATTTGTTTTCATTGTAGCTCCTATACTATCTGTGCCTCAGGGTGAGGCGGGTTAATCATCTATTTTCCACCCACACACACTCTCACTGATTGAAGCGCTGCTGTGGCAAGGCCTTATTACCTCTGCTTCTTGTCTGCTGATCAAATGCACCAAATCAGCCTTTATACGAGGTGTGGCAAAATGTCAGTGGCATGATCTCATCGTTGCAGATCTCAAAAACTGAACAGCTGTATGCTTACAACTGCTTTTGAAATCGATTGATAAATTCAGTATACGGTTCATTCCAAAATTGGTTGACATTTTCTGTCCCAGCCACGAAATTTCAAATAGTCCCTGCCCAAAACATGCACTTGTTGTGTTAAACATACTTGTCCTTAGACAAAATGTGAATAAAGTTGTAGGAAAAGTGGTTTCAAAATATTATTTAAAATATCAAAAAGCTCTCGAGCCCCCCTAAAATGGCATTTTTCTCTGGTCCCTCCTTGGTGGCCAACTTCAAATATAACATTTGAAACAGACATTTTAATTTACTTTATTTGCTTATCATTTTGTTGATGTCCTCTCTTTTATTTTTCCTATTTTCTTATGTTTTCAGTCTAGACTCAAAAGGACCATAACTGTATTTAAATTATAGTTAGATCAAGAGGTTAATAGACATTTAAAATTGTGATTTATATTCGATTCTAACCCACCATTGAGCACTGTTGAAAAACAAAAAATAAAACATCTGATTCATTTTTTTCAAGTTTTGACGTCTAAATGTCCTCCAATTCTGGAAGGAGCCACAAAGCAGTTCGAGCTACCCAGAATCACTTCTCTGTAACTAAAACATACTTCCTGAAGCAGTAGCAGGACAGAATGATGCAGACGGACAGAATGATGGGGACGACGATGGCGACCACCATCAGTGTCTGGTCAGGAGGCTTGTTAGAACCTGTGATGAAGAAGAGACACATTTTCTTCAACTTTCAACACATTTGAGGTCTAATTAAATATTAAAAGCAGACAGAGCATGTGTCTAACAAAAACATAGTATTAAAGTTCTGTCAGACATGATAGGGAACAACTGATGAGTATAAACTGCTTATTTTGATATACACACACATTAGCCAGCAATCATAAATGTCATCATGGACAAATTAAATGTTTTTCTGAATAATTACTAATGTGCCTTTTTAAGTATAAACTTTAGGGCATAAAATGTTGCAAATGAAGGGATCCAATGACAACCATGTTAGTATTTACTGGAGTATAATATTTTAGTAGATTCTTTTTTTCTAATTGTGATGACACTTACCATATTTTACAACATCGCTAAAATCGCTGGTTACATTAGAGCAATATGATTTAGTTTCAGTTCTAGATCGGAACTCGTAAAGGCAGTCTTTATCGTAGGGAATTTTCGAGGGTCCTTCACTCTGAATGCATATCTTAAAAAAGTAAGCACAAAAAACAGTGGTGAACTTTATTGTATAGAAAACTTATATGACTTAAAAATGTTAAGATAATCAAGACTTTTTACTTCAGACTTATTGCATCGGGTGTAGCAGACTCTGAAATTCCATTTACACTTTCCGATCGATTGATGTTTCCACTTTAATGTTAGATAATCGTTTTCTTCTTTGATGATCAGTTTAGGTGGATGTATCACTGAGGACAAAAATATGTATCATTTTCACCTTCACTTGGCAACAAACAAGATTCAATCATTGTGTTAAATAAGTATTTGAACGACAAAATGAAGGTAACACAAACCAAAACGAGGTTTAAAGGTGCTCCATCCAGCTTCAGTTTCCACGAGAATGCATACGTCATTGTCTTTCAGATAACACCCACTCCTTTCGGCACTGCTGTAAGGCCGATCACACACTCTTAAAGGTTTTAAATGTTCACAAGTCCTGTAAAAACAGAATGGGCAGGTGGTGAGAGAAATAGGGAGAAGGGAAGGCTAGAGCTGATGTTCCTGCAATACCTTCAGTCGCCACTAGGGGCTCATAAAGCTCACTAATGAACTGCGGTTCATTACGTAACA